TCTTCAGCTCAAGGCCAGAGAGCTCTACCACTTGAGCCACAGAGCCACTTCCAGCTTTTTTTTTTTTGCTTATGTGGTGCTGAGGAATCGAACACAGGGCCTCATGCATGCAAGGCAAGCGCTCTACCACTGAACGACCTTCCCAGCCCATCAAAAACTTTTTTCAATCTTCTGTGACAAATACCTAGGGCTGGAAATGTGGCTTAGCGGTAGGGTGCTTGCTTGCCTAGCATGCAGGAAGCCCTGGGTTCAATTCTCAAGATCAATAAACAGAAAAAGCGGGAAGTGGTGCTGAGGCTTTAGTGGCAATGCTCACCATGAGCAAAAAAGAAGCTGGTGACAGTGCTCAGGCCCTGAGGACTGGCAAAACATAAAATAAAAAGTAAACAACTTATACAATCTGTCACCAGGACTGGTTGTTTACTGGCTTTCTCCTATATATAGCACAAAAGGAGACTATCTTATTAACTTGGAATGTCTTAAACTTAATTGTTCTGCAGTGTCATCTCTATTTTTTCCAACAAACAACTTTTAGGAGTGAAGTATTTGTCCCTGTTTGGCATAAAACAGTTTATGTAAGTCATCTCTAAATTCCACAATGCAGCTTCAAAGAAGGTAATATTATCCTTATTTAACAAAAGAGTAAATTCTTTCAAAAAAAATCTACTTCATTTGGGGCTGGGCATGTGGCTCAGTGGTAGACTGCTTCCCTATAATGCATGTAGCCCCGGGTTTGATTCCTCAATACCACATAAACAGAAAAGGCCAGATGCAGCACTGTGGCTCATGTGGTTGAGCCAAAAGAAGGTTAAGGACAGTGCCCAGGCCCTCAGTTCAAGCCCCATGACTGGCAAAAAAAAAAAAAGGTCTAGTTCGAGATGATAAATATAAATAATATTATAAATATAAAAACATTGACTCCAAATGTAGTACTAAGTCCATACTTCTTGGTCCAGGAAGCATGATCTTAGAGTAGCCTACTTCAAACCAGTGCAAGCAGCCTGACTCTCCTTTCCACTGACATAAGTCAGCAGCACCAAAGCGACGCTAGGGATATAGCTCCGCGGCAAAGCGCTTGCTTAGCATTCATGAGACTCTAAGATTGATTCCCCAGCACCGAAAAGCAAAGGAAGAAGAAGGGAAACTACTACTCTCTTACTAAAATAAATTTTCTTAAACGAAACTACTTCTCATACAAAGTACCCTAGGTAAATTAAATTTCTCAAGTAACTTGGCTGTTCTTGTCTTCAAGATTATTATGGCTGATTCCCTCCAGACAAAACTCATAGCAGCTACACGGAGAAGAGACAAACTGCAGTTGGGAGTTGTTTCATCAGACTCAAAGGAAAGGCTGACAGTGCAAGGGGAAGGACTGCTCCCATACTAAAGTTCATGTGTTCAGCTTCAAACTCCCCACGCAAGCGCTTACCTGCTCACGGGAGCCTTTTCCTGGGGCTCCGATCCCCCGGAAGCCACCGCCGGCACATGTGCAGACTCCGCAGTCTTTGAAGCGAACTCGGCTGCAGGCTCCGGTGGCCTGGGAGACTCCCGTCCACGCTGGGGCTGGGGAGCCGTGGAACCCCTGGCGCCGACACCGGGCCTGACATTCGGCTTCACGCTTAGGCGTGCCCTGCGGAACATGGCGGAGCCAGGGGGGCCCGGGACGCGGCTTCACCGCCGCGCCCAGCCCAGAGCCCCAAGCACGGCCGGAAACCGCGTGAGGACCTCCGCCCTCCCCACAAAGCCGGAACGCACCCAGCGGGCCGCTACCGCAGTTTCGCGCCCCCACCGCCTCCTCCTTTCTCCCGCCGCCGCCTCTTCTTCATGACCCTGCCACACTAATGCCTAAATTTCTCCCTCCACCCGGATCCCGGCCCGTAGAGGGCGCAGGAACCGACGCGTAATCACTCAGCGCCCGGCGCCTACGTCAGACGCACGGCGCCGGGAGCCATGGTAACCGCAAGCGCCTCGCTTAGGTTACCTGTAAAACGGAAGTTGGGGCGCAAAGGCCTGAGCTCTTCCTTCTCTACCTGTGCTTAGTAGTGGCTGCAAGGAAAGGACGCACTGGCTTAAACTTATTTAATCGTTTTTTCCTTCTCCGTATTAGAGGATCGAACGCAGGGTGTGCCCCATGCAGACTGCATGCTACACACTGAGCTGCGCACACACCATGACCCACACCTGAGAGAAACTGCTTAAAATCGCCCGCCCAGGAGCTGGGAAGGTGGCTGAGTGGTAGAGTGCTTGCCTAGCATTCATGAGGCCCTGGGTTCAATTCCTCAGTACCACATAAACAAAAAAGGCTGGGACGGTGGCTCAGTGGTAGAGTGCTTGCCTTGCATGCATGAGACCCTGAGTTCGATTCCTCAGCACCACATAAGCAGGAAAAAAAAAAAGCTGGAAGTGGCTGTGGCTCACAAATGGTAGAGCGCTAGCCTTGAGCTGAAGAGCTGAAGGACAGTGCCCAGGCCAGAGTTCAGGCCCCAAGACCGGACCCTCCCACATAAACAAAAGGACCAAAGTGGCGCAGTGGCTTAAATGGTAGAGTGCTAGCCTTGAGCAAAAGAAGCTCAGGGACAGCACCCAGGCCCAGAGTTCACGCCTCAGGTCTGGCAAAAAACAAAAATTAAAAAAAAAAAAAAGTGTAAGAGCAGTGCCTGCTTACCTGTGTCAGAACTTAGAAATTCTGTAAATGCTAACTAGAACACAATTAGAATTTGTGATAGGAAGAAATTGAGAATGATCTCTCCTGGGAAAATAAACTACAAAACACAGCCAGGAAAAATATTTACTGTATAACCTTGTGTATTTTTTAATGTGATGTATTGTCCATGCAAAAATCATAAACTATACAAGTATTTTTGTACCGATACTGGGGCTTGAATTCTGGGCTTTTACTTGCCTTGTTCAAAGCTAACATTCTACCACTTCTAGCATTTTACTATTTCTTTTTTTTTATTTCTTTTTTTTTCTTTTTTTGGTCGGTCGTGGGGCTTGAACTCTGGGCTTGGACCCTGTCCTTGCGCTCTTCAGCTCAAGGCTAGCACTCTACACTAGGGCCACTTCCGGTTTGCTAGTGGTTTATTGGAGAAAAGAGTCTCAGGAATCTGTCTGGGAAGGAGGCTCAGTGGTAGAGCGCTTGCCTTGCATGCCTGAGGTCTGGGTTTGATTCCTCAGCACCACATAAACAAAAAGAAAAAAGCCGGAAGTGGCGCTGTGGCTCAAGTGGTAGAGCGCTAGCCTTGAGCTGAAGAGCTGAGGGACAGTGCCCAGGCCCAGAGTTCGGGCCTCACGACCCACAAAAAAAAAAAAAAAGAAAAAAACTAAAAAACAACAACAAACAAAAAAAAAAACTGTTTCAGGGACTTTTCTGCCAAGGCTAGCTTGAAATCTTGGTCCTCATAGCATAGGCTCCTGAGTAGCTAAAATTACATGAGCCTCTGGCACCCAGATTCACTTTCAGCTTTTTGTTTTTGTTTTTGCCAGTCCTAGGGCTTGAACTCTGGGCACTGTTTCTGAGATCCTTTTGGTCAAAGCTAGCACTTTACCACTTGTACCACTTACAGCTTTTTCTGCTATTAATTGGAGATAAGAGTCTCACAAACTGGGCACTAGTAGCTCACGCCTGTCATCTCACACCTGTAATCCTAGCTACTCAGGAGGCTGAGATCTGAGGATCTCGGTTCAAAGCCAGCCCGGGCAGGAAAGTCCATGAGACTCTTTTTTTTTGGGGGGGTGGAGGGGGTCCAGTCATGGGCCTGAGCACTGTCCCTCAGCTCTTCAGCTCAAGGCTAGCACTCTACCACTTGAGCCACAGTGCCACTTCTGGGTTTTTTTTTCTGCTTTTGTGGTGCTGAGGAATCAAACCCAGGGCCTCATGCATGCAAGGCAAGCACTCTACCACTGAGCCACCTTCCCAGCCCCTCCAGGAGACTCTTATCTCCAATAAACCACCAGAAAACTGGAAGTGGTGCTGTGGCTCAAGTGGTAGAGTGCTAGCCTTGAGCTGAAGTGCTCAGGGACAACACCCAGGCCCCACAACCAACAAAAAATAAATAAATAGGGACTGGGAAGTTCGCTCAGTGGTAGACTGCTTGCCTTGCACGCATGAGGCCCTGGGTTCTATTCCTCAGCACCACCTAAGCAGAAAAAAAAGCCAGAAATGGTGCTATGGCTCAAGTGGTAGAGTGCTAGCCAAGCTAAAGACCTGAGGGACAGTGCCCAGGCCCAGAGTTCAGGACCCAGGACCAACAACAAAAAAAAAAAGTAAATAAATAAATATACTCCCGCCAGGCACTGGTGGCTAATGCCTATAATCCTAGCTACTCTGGAGGCTGAGAAAGTAAGGATCAAGGTTCAAAGCCAGCTGGGGCAGAAAAGTCTATGAGATCTTTATCTCCAATTAACCACCCAAAAGCCAGAAGAGGAGTTGTGACTCAAATGGTCAAGTGCTAGCCTTGAACAAAAAATGATCAGGGACAGCACCCAGGTCCTGAGTTGAAGCTCCAATATTGGCATTGGCACACACACACCCTGTCAAATTAATAGCAAATCATGAAAGGAATAAAATTCTGGACTGAATGTAGAAGTGGATCATGTAGAAGGAGAAAGGGAAAAGTCCTCAATAGTCGGAGAGCAAAATTGAAGGAAGAAAGAAAAGGAAAAAGAAGATGTAGGTCTATGGGTTCTGTGTGCTCTCTTTAATACTCTAGAGAGGGAAAAAAAAAAAACCTAGACGTATTCAAAGCTCAAGTGTCAGGGTATAACTCAGTGCTTAGTACATGAAAAATCCCCTGAGTGCAATAAGAAAGAGAAGGCTATGGAAGGAAGGAAAAAAGAAAGGACATAAAAAGAATACCCTGCTAAAGATGTCTCAGGAATCTTGGAGCAACTGCCAGGACAATGTTTTAGTTTTTGTGGCAGTATTGGGCTGAGATCTGAGAGTCATGGTTCAAAGCCAGCCCAAACAAGAAAGTTTGTGAGACTTTTATCTCTATTTTTTTTTGTCAGTTGTAGGTCTTGAACTGGGCCTGGGAGCTGTCCCTCAGCTCTTCAGCTCAAGGCTAGCACTCTACCACTTGAGCCACAGCACCATTTCCAGTTCTGAGTGGCTTATTGGAGATAAGAGTCTCACAGACTTTCCTGCCCAGGCTGGCTTTGAATCTTGATCCTCAGATCTCAGCCTCCTGAGTAGCTAGGATTACAGGTGTGAGCCACAGGTGCTGGCTTTCTTATCTCTAATTAACCAGCAAAAAGCTAGTGGAGCTGTGGCTCAAGTGATGGGACCTTATCCTTGAGTGAAAAAACTAAGGGAGAGCACACAGGCCCTGAGTTCAAGTACCAGTACCAACACCATCCAAAAACTGAAACAGGTTCATTAAGGAGAAACAGATATCTGATCTCTAAATAGTATTGAAGAAAGAGGAGGGGCATAGGAATGGGAAACCAGGTAAGAGTAATAACTATATTAGCTTAACATATTAAGAGCTACCATTCATGGGCAGGAAGCTATTTTATGTGTGTGCCAGAACTGAGGCTTGAACTCAGGCCTCAGTAGAGCTCTTGCCTGGCTGTTTTCTGCTTAAGGCTGGTGCTCTACCACTTGAGCCACACCCCCATTTCCAGCTTTCTGCTGGTTAACTGGACTTGTCTGCTACAGTTAGCTTCAAAACTGGGTCCTTATAGATGCCTAAGTAACTAAGATTACAGATATGAGCCACTGGCCCCCAGACGTACAGCTCTACATCCAGTTTGCTGCTGTTTAATTAAAGATAAGAGTATGACACTGGTCTGGGAAGGTGAATCAGTGGTAGAGTGCTTGCCTTGCATGCATGGGACCCTGGGTTCCATTCCTCAGCCCAAAGTGGCGCTGTGGCTCAAGTGGTAGAGTGCTAGCCTTGAGCTGAAGAGCTGAGGGACAGCACCCAGGCCCAGAGTTCAGGCCCCATGACTTGGGGGAGAGGGAGAGTCTGATACACTTTCCTGCCCAAGCTGGCTTTGGACCACAATACTCAGATCTCAGCCTCCTGACTAGGTAGGATTATAGGTACAAACCACCAGCCCCTAGCTCAGGAAGCTTTTAGCATAGTGAAATAATATCTCTACGCTCACACAGCAGCTAATTTATAGAGTTGGACTTCCAACCCAAACACCTTACATCCAGAGCCAAATTCTTCTACCTTTTCTAAAAATAGGCCATTTTATAACAATTGTTGAAGAGTGATAATGTGTACTTGGGAATACATTTATACTTTTTTGGGGGGGAAAGTGGCCTCCTTGTTAGCCTGGAACTCTATGATGTCAGTCAAGCATTGATCCAGATCATCTATCACCAGTACTTTCCTATCTTTTTAAATACTCTGTAGGGTGCCGGTAGCTCATGCCTGTAATCCTAGCTACTCAGGAGGCTGAAGTCTGAGGATCATGGCTCCAAACCAGCCCGAGCAGTAAAGTTGGAAGTGAGATTCTTATCTCCTATTAACCACCAAATGACTAAAGGTGGAGCTGTGGCTCAAAGTAGTGGAGCACTTTATTTGAGCAGAAGAGCCCGGGGTCAGTGCCCAGTCACTGAGTTCAAGCCCCACAACCAACAAAAATAATTAACTATTCCAGAAGAAATACTTTTTGAAAAAGCACCAGGCAAAGGGGTGCTGGCATCTCAGGAAGCAGAGATCTGAGAATGGAGGTTCAAAACCAGTCCAGGCAGGAAAGTGTATCTTTAATTAACCAACAAAGCCAGAAGTGGAGACATGGCTCAAGGGGTGGAGTAACAGCTAGATGCTGAAAAGTCTGGCAGAGTATCAGGCCAAGTTCAAGCTCCAACTCCCCCGCCGCCCCTCCAAATAAGAAAAACAAAACCAGTGAGACAGGTCTCTAGCCCTCTACTAATACAGACTTCAGGGCCGGAGGTCCCATACTGGCTTAAATTCTGGTACTTTGGAATCCTGCCTTTTGTTGGTGTTGCTTTGCTTTGTAGGTCATGGGTCTCCACTACTTTGAGCCACCCACCACTTCCGGGTTCCTGGTGGTTCATTGGAGAGTCTCAGGGCCTTTCCTGCCCGGGCTGGCTTTGAACCGCGATCCTCAGCTCTCAGCCTCCTGAGTAGCTAGGATGGCAGGCGTGAGCCACGGCGCC